TAATTATCGGGGGACAAAACATATATTGGATAAGTGATAATGGCTAATTGCCTACCTGAATTTAGTTAAAAAAGACTAGTTAGAGTTAATGTCAACTTAGTATAGGTAACACTGGATCAAACAATAAGTCAGTTTTAGGTAAATGCTGCTACTATTTGGAAAACCTCGGATTTTATGAATGTGAAGATTATAGATAATGTCTAGCTAGGATTAATATTTACGCAGCTGAATGTTGATTATAAGGATAATAAAATATAGTTAAACGTACTTGCGTGATTCTGGTGAGTATTATGCCATTTAAATTTGCAATATTATTTTGTCGGAGGGGGTTTTGCTGTATATTTAATACTGTAATATCCTATTAAAAGACAAGAGAGAGAGAGAGAGAGAGAGAGAGAGAAGTGGGGTTTAACGTCCACTCGACACAAACCAGGTCATTTCGGGACTAACATATGGTTTAATATTATTTCAATAATTCGCTTGCGCGTAGGGGTCTTTAGCAGTGGGAGGAAACCGGAGGACCCGGAGAAAACCCACGAGGCTGGACAGGCGACCCTACTCCTTGTCACGTACAACCGGGGATTCGAAACCACGCCAGTTGACTCAATGACAGGTATTATGATACAGCACGCACGTGCTAACCATTCGGCCATCCAACCCCCCTTAAAAGACAAACACGCTTGTCAACGGCAGGAACAAATTAAACGACAACGGTGTTGTTAATTCTCGTGGATGAAATAATAGTCATTATTTGTGATCCTGGTCAAGAGTCAGAGCATGTAGACTACTTTTAAGAGGTGAGCTAATTTAGGACGAGAGAGTGAGAGAGAGAGAGAGAGAGAGAGAGAGAGGTGGGGGATTAACGTCCACTAACATATGGTTCAATTTTATTTCAATAATTCGCTTGGGCGTAGGGGCCTTTAGCAGTGGCAGGAAACCGGGGGTCCCGGAGAAAACCCCCGAGGCGACCCTACTTCTTGTCACGTACAACCGGGGAATCGAAACCACGCCAGTTGACTCAATGACAGACCTTATGATACAGCGAACACGTGCTAACCATTCGCCCCCCCCCCCCGCCATAATTATGCGTATTACAAATACAAATACTTCATTCTTAAGGTACTTCAGATTTCCGATTTTAATTAACCGGTTTAGACTTCAAAATTCAAGGATAGTTCAACATCAATCATAAAATATCTGTTAAGCCAAGACGTCAACTATTATGAACACATTTTCTGTGTGTAATTTTGTCATAGGCTATTCTGTATTTTTCTTTTATATTATATAAAAAGGTTTTGGTCACCGTATTATTTAAATTAAGTGTGACCCATTAGGGTCATAAGAGGACGAAATCTATTGATTTCCAACGTTCGGCGACCTTATTTGCCTCAGCCTAACCCCTTTTCCCTGAAATCTATGTGAGCGCGTCAGCGGGTTACAGTTTTTAACATATTTGTTTTTCAAATTTTGTATGAAACATTTGGGTAAAGAGAGGGAAAAATATATTGATCCTCCGCGTCCGCGACCTCTCTTTTCGCTGTTTAACATTCCTTGAGTACCCCTTCTCCAAAAACTCGTGAACAGGTTAGAGGCTACAGTTATTTAAAGGTGTTTTGCTATTAATTTCAGTACGAAGCACTGTGTCACGAGTGTAGGAATCCTATCGATTTTCAGCGTTTAAATTGTAATAAGAAACACTATAATAATAGATCGAGCTAAACATAGATGAAGCTTCTCGAACTTTTCAAGACTTCGATAGTCATGCCCACAAGAGTTTTATTATCACACGATCCATTTTTTTATATTATCGATAAACATTTCTTTTTGTTCTCAAAATTAATAACCGTACATAACAATACTACCAGCAAACTCTATTTATTAAATGTAAGATATGTTCGGGTATATAGTTTATTTAAAGACATGTTGCTAGGTTTCAACCCTATGCAAAATCCATAAACAAAATCTAATTATGAGGATAGAATGGCAACAACCTATGTTATGAGAATTGTACAAACAATGCATTAATAGGATCAATGTTATGTGTATAAAGTTTAATTATTGTTACTATTAAGTGTATCGATGTTTATGGAGCCAAGAGCAAGGCAAGCAATAATTCCCTACAAAATATATAAACACCAATGCGCCATTTATATTTATGTATTAATCAATAATTCAACTTGGAAACAAACACAATCACAAATAACCCTTGTTTAGAAATTATTAAAAGTTGTCCCTACAATCCGGAACATTTTGTCCACGGAAGTGGATTATTGAAGACTACACTTGCACAAAAATGTAAAATCCCGATACATTGGTTAGTATTAACTTATATGCCAGAGCTTGTACATTTTATGATGATTTATTGGTAAGAGGCAAATTGCTTAAAAGCATTACACGACTGAAAAGTTATTTTATGAATTTATTCCACTGATAATATCAGGCCCAGTCTTTGTCAAAGTGAATGGTCGAAGGACACAGGAGTCAGCATGACGTACGTGTGGAATTATACCTCAAAGTTATTAAGATTTAACCGATATCGAGAGTGATTGTGACGCGACCAGAAGCCTTCCAGATCGTGTAGGCCTACGCCAAAGAATCATAATATAACACAAATTTAGTTCCCATTATTCATGTACATGTACAATAGGGTCCAACAACATTGAAATTTAATAATCACTATTTTTATAAGAATAATTAAAAGTTTTTGTATTTTATCCAGTAGGGAAACAAAAGAGGTATTTTCTTTTGATGATATTTTCTGTTAATTCACACATCTACAAAAAACATATTTGTTTTTAGTCGCTTTGAAAAACAAAATTATAATGTAAATACAATTTCCTACACATGTTGCAAATAACAGCTCGACAATTATTGCTGGAGGCGACCAGATCCCTGCATAGAAATTCGCTTTAAAATAACTGATATATTCTTTGGATTCTCGAATAGAATACTTTTAACAAGAAATTGAATATTTCAAATATCATCGACAACATAATCAGAAAAAAACCCTTCGTATTATGTATAACTCCACTCCCGCTTTATATACTTGCCAATTATAATGCCGGGACGCGTCTTGTATTTTCCTTTATTATAGATTCTCACGACTCGCCATTGTCTTCTGTAATACAGAAACGACCATTTCTCTGTAATGGATCTAGGAACGAATCTGAAATGTCATTCCCAATTCCAATCTATGATTAAAATATAGATTTATATTTTATTTCGATTTTTTATACCTTGGATAGCCCCACTAGATTGGTGTAGTGAATACAAGTAAAATAGAATTTTGAACTATAAAAAACGAAACGAAGTAGGATCTGTGTTTTAATCAGTTTGATCCAATCCAGTATCAAAATGTAATCAAATAATGTGAACTCTTAAATTATTTTTGCTAATCATACGATTGACAATGTAATTATTCCCTTTTAACTTGACAATGTAATTATTCTCCTCTAACTTGACAATGCAATTATTCCCCCCTAACTTATTTTTTTATCGGTTAAGTAGTAAAACCGGATGTACAAGATTACTCAATGTTACGCAGTGTTTACTCAAGTAGTAAAATACTATATAGCACAAATTGATAGGTGATTAATCGAAATGAATGAACTCGAAATTAGAAGGAGAATCAGGTGACATATTAATTAGAATCAGATGTAGTGTACTGTCAACCCATTTATCGTTTTTATTGAATATATGATAAATATTAATTGTCATAGTGTATTTTAGTATGGTAAAGTGTCAAATAAAGCCATATAAAATCTGTAGATTAATATTAAGTCTAGATTTCATTAACTGATCAATTGATTGAGCAATAGCCCACATTCGGATAAAATGTCCTGGTGTGTTTCCATCTTAATCATTTAAATTTTAGTCCAGTACATTCTCTATTACTACTCGTTTAACATGGCGACGCTGGCTATCTAAGAACCATCCTTATTCAGATTAGCCCTGACTTGTTGTGTCCAAATTTCAAGTCAAGTTCAGGGATAGACTGCGAAGGAGCTAAGACCCGAATATACTAGTACTGTGGTTACGATAATAAACAACCAATGCCCAGATCTTGCCAAAACTACAAACAGTGATAACTTGAATAAAGTAATAATGAAATTTTCAATATATACATTTTGCATTATCTATTTTTGGACTATTATAGCCAGCAGAACGGCCAGCTCTTTATCTAAATCTTACATAATGTATCTTTAATGTTCGCGCGTAGTTTGGAGAACCGTTTTAATCTTGAATTTATCGTTATTTGTATTTTGGAACGTAATTGTAATCATTTTTTATATATTATCTGTTTGATGGTTTGCAGTGTCCCTATGTTTCGTACTCAGGTGGCCAGGTTCAGGGGCATTCATTCTCCATGCCGTCCCTGTTCAACCTACAAACATTAGGGACATGGCGACCAGGGACATCATTAGAGAGGGCGCGAATTCAGGTGCACCCTCTCGCAATAACTGGATCAAACTATGATGACATTTGACCAACGCCTAGTAAGCATGAACTACTTGCGAAATGATCGCTAAATTTCCTCTCGTTTCAAGAAGGCGGTGTTTTTAATATCATTATTTATTAATTTTTGTCAATACTTTTACGACTGAAAACCAAATATATGGCTGAATTTATTGATATTCAAATGGGTTAGTTGTTGACATTACACACAATATTGTGTTACTTACTGTCGAACAAACAACTTACTTTGTTTAATGTCTATTGTCTACATATGATGTTTGTCTCACAAAATACAAATCAATATATCCGGTAATTAATTATTTCTCTAACCAAAAGTTAAACATCATGCAATTGCATTTATTTAATAAAAACAAAACAGTATTAACCGTGACGCTCAATGAGATAATGCGCATGTCTTTGTTTCTAGTTCTGTATCACCAATTACTCTTTAAGCCAATGAAATTGTCATATTTTGACATCGATCAATGCTATCACTGGCTTTTCTGTCGAACTTTGCCTTAACAATTTTAAACACGAACTGGACCCGGAACACTACAGATAGCTTATTTTGTTAAAAGACCCTTGGTATTAAGAAACAAGAATCTACTGTAAGAACAGATTTAGCCATCAACAATTTATGTTTCTAATGTAAAGCATTATTGTGTAGGTAAGTAATAATTTACAATATCAATAACATTGTCACATTTTAAAAGGAAAATGAATTGTACAAAAGAGATTTTAATATACAGTACTAGAAATTAAACGGGTTGTAACGTCCTACTTTTGCTTTTCGACTGGACTAATAAAGACGGGAATTTTGCCCGGACAATGGCACTATGGTCAACTCTTATATCGAATTCCAACTGTCAAGGGATCTTTTACGTGCACGCCAATTTGAATATAGAACTTCTGATTTTCGTCCCATCGGAACGACTATACGTTGGCCCTTACCAGGCGCTTGCACCACTGACATGGGCGAACCACGCCGGAAAATCCCAATGAACCTTCTAGGCCAATACCTTGATCGATCACGGGACCTCCAGGTTAGTGAGCCAACGTTTTACTCACTGAACCAATGCGACCCCTTTTGATATACTATTATACGGCTATGTTTCAACTGTCATGCTTGTACAATATACATGTAGGTATGATAAGTGTGCATAAACATTTCGACCAGGAACACCGTCTAGCTGTCCAGATTGATGGAAAGTATAGATCCCGTGTACAAGTTGTCGTGCACGTAAAAGAACTTTTGACAGTTGCCGTCCGGGAAAACTTGTCCCCATAGCACACTGTATGTTATATGCCCGTAAGTCCTTAGCAAAGTTTGTGCAGAAAGTAGGACGTTAAACCTCATTTCATCCATTGGGGAATAATCGTATCATGAAAATGACCAGACACATTTTCCTTGTCAACCCCGCTGACGCAATCCATGACAATTGGGATTCGAACCCAAGACATTCTAGTTAAGTGTTCAGTACCATGGCGGCGCGACTACCACACCGCCTAGATTTCAGAACTGTTTCTAATAGGTCTTGTTTTATCTTATCAGCTAGAGTAAGACGTTTTTATAATAAGGAATAGGCTACTATCTACCAATTTACCTACAATAATCCAGCTTATTGTTCTGAGAAAACCTATCTACCTAAAAGTTCGCCTTCTAATTTGAAGACTCGTTTTAGACACGTAGTGGAATATGCCGACAGCTCATCGTATTTCATGTTGGTTATAGTGGAACATTGTGTCACAATAAGGCAAAGGACCCAACAATGATGTGCTAAAAATTGAAATAGAGCTCTAATATAGGATTCAGTAAAGGCATATTCTCTTGTTATTTAACATTAGATAAAAAAAAGTCTGTAGTGCTAAACTATTTATAAATTCATTTTCACCGTGTGTGTAATCAAGGGATGTTAGACACAACTTTAGGTATACTAGCGGTATCACGTGTTCAAGAAAGATTAATAAATTGCCCCGTACACGATGTCCGTAACTACACAATTTATATGGAATACAATCACTGGTTTATACAGCACGACGTTTCGACAAGTATTCTCTTATGTTATCAAGAAAAAATGAGAATAATTGTCGAAACGTCGTGCTATATGTATATAAACCAGTGATTGTATTCCATATAAATTGTGTTGTGTTTTTTTAATGTGCTCAATCACTAAATGCCACTCAAGGATTATGTTCGTAACTGTTTATAGCTAATTCTATTCTTCCAATATATATCAGTCGCATAGATGAACTTTCATTTCAGAATCTTGGACATTATTTACATTATAAAGGTGAACTAGAACCGGCGCTTTAAGAAGTCAATGATACCTTATTGATGCGCTACTGATCGGTTTTTACTGGAGCAATTAGTCTTCTATTGAGACTTTCTTTGAACTACGCAAATGGAATGTTGCGCACCATTAAGAAATTAGCTCTCTATTTTATAATGTTAATAAAAGTGTTTAGATATACGACACGTCTTCCTCAATTAAGATCAATATTTTATTATGCGATGAGTTTTGCAATCTGTTTTTATAAAGTTATTGTCCGAACTAATTAACACAGACACGTTTTATTCGTAAAAATTCAGATGTATCATGGAGACTCCCATTCTGATTAAAACGCAGATCTTAATTCATTTCGTTTTTTATAGTTCAAAATTTCGTTTTACTTGTCTTTACTATACCAGGATCTGGAAGAGTTGTTATATACTATTCAAAAAAAGTAGGGGATATTTGATTTTTAAGTGTTATTAAAGTCACCTAATGAAACTGACGAAGAAACAAATGACAAAATGAAATGAAGTTCACATTCATCGATTTATTCCAAATGATCATTAGACTAAGTAAGGCACAGACTGACCATTATAAGGGTAAAATGATACCCGGGGTCAAACAGCAAAGTTACCACAGCATCACAACCAAGTCAGTAACAGGTAAATCCTCCTCTGTTTGCCAAACAAGCATTGATCCGACGTGGCATACTCCTGTTGCAACGCAGCAGCAAGTTCTTGGACATTGGCAGGACGTTGTTGACGTTGACGTAACCTCTGTCCAAGCATGTCCCAGACATGCTCGATGGGGGAGAGGTCGGGACTCAGTGCTGGCCAAGGTAATGTGGTGATGTTCTGTTGTTGGAGGTAACCTGTAACGATCCTGGCCCTGTGACATCTTGCGTTGTCATCCTGGAAGATGAAACGGCGGCCATGACGTCGTGCGAACGGCACAACATGGACTGCCAAGATGTTGTCCCGGTAGTACTGGCCTGTAACACGCCCTGCAACAACATGTAAAGCCGTTCTTCCAGCAACAGTGATGCCTCCCCACACCATAACAGAACCACCCCCAAATCGATCATGTCTGATGACGTTAACGTCTTGGAAGCGCTCGTTTCGACGACGCCACACCCTCCTACGTCTGTCCAAAAAATCAACAGTGAACCTTGACTCATCTGAAAACATCACATTGCTCCAGCGTCGATTATCCCAGTGTTGACGATCCCTACACCAACGACGTCTTGCCTGAATGTGATGATCTCTCAAACAAGGGATCACGCGAGGACGTCGGGCGCGAAGGTGACCCCTATGCAGTCGATTCCGAATCGTCTGGCCACTCACTCTCACACCAGTGTCTGTTTGAAGACGAGCGCTGATCTGATTTGCTGTGATGACACGATTTCTCAAGGCCAAGGTACGGATAAATCGATCCTGGGCTTGAGTTGTCGCCCTTGGTCGACCTGAGCGTGGTCTGTCCTGTACAGATTGTGTATCACGGTATCTGGACCATAGCCTGCTTATGACAGACTGAGAAACATTCATCGTCCGCGCCACAACCGCCTGTGTTGTGCCGATCTGTAGCATGCCAAGGGCACGTAACCTTTCATTTTGGGTAAGCCGACGCATATCAAAATTTGTTTTCTGGTCTCTAAAACAATTAAACTGATGTTTCCACCCTGGAATTCAATGCCACAATGACTGTAACATTCAAAGTCAGAGTCGTGCAAATCTTGGGTTGGACCCCCATGATGATCCCAAGCATCACCTGCATTCCATGCGGTAGCTATTGGTGCGTTTGGGCGTCACATGTAACTGGAAATGTTTCTTCTGTTAGGTTCTATAGTGACTTTTTTCGTAGTCATTTGCATATTTTAGTATTAGGCCCCCAAAATCAAATAGCCCCTACTTTTTTTGAATTGTATATAACCCGCGTTCTGGTTGACATGAGGGAATAGCCACTGAAACGGTCTGTTGCAGCGAGTTATTGGTGTGCTCTGCACGGAACTGTGGATATTCTACAAGAAACATCAATACTGGTTTGTTAATCAAAAGGGTATCGTACGGTCTGCCAATGAGTCAACTGGCGTGGTTTCGTTTCCCCTGTAACAAGGAATAGGATCACCTATCCAACCTTGTGGGCTTTCTCCGGGTCCTCCGGTTTCCTCCTAATGCTAAAGACCCCTACGCGCAAGCGAATTATTGAAATAAAATTGAACCATATGTTAGTCCCGAAATGACCTAGTTTATGTCTAATGAACGTTAAACTCTCTCTCTCTCTCTCTCTCTCTCTCTCTCTCTCTCTATCTCTCTCTCTCTTGCTTTTAGACTGAAAATTCTGTTTACCTCTCAATATTTAGTGGGTGTCTGTTGTTATTGCATATTGCACTATTCTATAAATTCCTTGTTTATGGTGCTTCCACGCTTGTCCTTGTTTGATATACGTTTTGGGTGTGGTAGAGCCATTGTAGACTCACTTGAATATAATAATTGTATGATCGAAGCGGTTTGTAGAATAAAACAAAAGGTCAGTATTGGAAGAGTAGAAATTTTTGTTTCGTCAAACAAATATTTCCATATTTAATTATAAAGAAATTAACAGGTGTTACATATTAAAGATACTTTATATAAATGTTGACGATCATCCACTTTAGTTAATAAATCGAAATGGTCAATAAAAAAATAATTAACTATGAAAGAGCTGACCTAGCGAACAATATATGCCACTTGTGACGAACATAATATGAAAGGTAAATCTGTAACCACCCGAGTGTATGTACAAATCCCACTCTGTCTAGATTATCAAATACTTATATCCTTGAAAAAGACACATTATCACCCTAGTCTACCCATTATTTACTTATTAGGCTACTTTAATATTGGTCATTATAACATTTATAGAAGACCAGCAACAGTTCTTGTATATATAGTTTGTTAAATGACAATACAAGTAACACTTGTATCATAGACATTTGCCCAAACAGTGATCAGTGTTATTAAATGATGCCATAATTGCGATGAATAAACAAGCGTATACAGCAACCACTTAGTTTTGATTCCTGCTTTTGAATGATTATTAAATTAGGTTATTTTTATTGAATATCATAACGATGACTATTATAATTTACAGCTTACCATTCGTTAACTGAATATATACGTCATTGTAGGTTGTCTTTCTGGTAATCGTATCGCGCATAAAAAAGTTTGTCGTATACAGTAATAGACCCGATTTCGGTGATTTCGGATAAAGTCGTAAATGCATTAAATATGTATTCTTTTAGTATTAATAAGCTCACCAGGAGATATCAAACATCATCTTCGTTAACTTATATATGTCGGCTACCGCTGACATGAGGTTTTGTTTTGTAAAATTCATAATGTAAAACGATATCTAGATCCTCATTTTTTTTTTTACCAATTTCTGTAAAGTAAACGTTAACCGAGAAGATATGTGTTAGGACAGACTGGTGGGGTGGGGTGTAAGCATGCTTTCATACACACCATACTTATCCCACCTGTAAACAAACAACCATATGGATGGGGTCCAAATCTAGATTCCAGTTTCAGAATCGAGTCATCAAGAAAAACAATTTAGGGTGTTAGAGAAGACCAACTTGTTCTGTTAACGCGTGTATGGATACCACATTGAATCCAAAGAATCCACCGGTTCACAGATTCAAATATGTATTGTCGGATTTCAAAATCGTCCCGAAGCAAACAAAACTGATTTTGAATCTGAAAAGAATCTAGATACCTGTTCGTCGCAAGAAAATATGAAAACTACAATGGCGAATGTATTAAAACGTCTTAGTTCACGTCGTAGTTATCCGTTACTTATTGAAGGTTTTACGTAAAAAAAAAAACTATTGTTTTAGTAATTTAGATACTCAACAGAGATTATAATGTATCTATAGGCCGGAATTATTTTATATTATTTTAATCTTTTAAAACGTTTCTTATCGCGTCCCTCCGTCTTGGAGTGAGGGAGAGATTAGTCGATCGATCGAGTTACTAAATCGATCTATCTAGAAACTCAAGTCGTGCGCTCGAGATACTTAAGCGCTCGAGATAATTAAATCGTGCACGCGAGATATTCAAGTCAAACGAGCAAGATAATATAATCGTACTATGGTAGCTGGGAAAGTACATCCAAAGATTTTATTTTCCCAAAATTATCTCGATCGATCGATTTAGTATCTCGATCGCTTGACTTAGTATCTCGAACGCTCCATTTAGTATCTCGAGCGCTCGAGTATATATATTTTGGCATGTCCTAAATCACTAATCACATTGTAAATTATTGCACCTTGTATACATAACATGTTATTGTCTGCGATATCACCTCGGTGGAAGCGGACGTAAAATACAACTAACCAACAACAACATCAGCCACCGTATTTACCATGCTCACATTTAAGTTATTTATTTTTCAGTTACCAAGAGCAGTCTTGTCTGAAAAGCTATAAAACACCGTTACATACTATTATTATCTTAGGACATCAAAACACAAATATTCTGATATTGGAACAAGCCATGGACTCTATCGGGCGGATAACTGTAAAGGTAAAGCTTCCTGCGAACATTAATAGCAATTATAGTTTTTAGATGGATATCTCAATTGTTGTCATTAACAAACATGTTAAAAAAACCTAATTATATAAATGGAAACCATTTGTGCATATTTGATTTATCAATTTATCCATAAATAATGCACCATGCATGAATGTTAACCAAGAAAAAAAATTAGATGAATACGGGACAGACAATCCAGAATGTCAAGTTGTTATTTTTACTGTCTGGAACCATTAAAACTAAGTGTCCGGTGAATAGACATTTTCTATGTTTGTTGTATTTTAAGAAAAAAAACCAATATTCCGCTTGGGATTCCTATTCAGTCTGAGGAAGCTCTGAGATGGAATTGAAGAATGAAGAACGAGAATGAATAGATATTAAACATTAATAGACGTATTAGCAAATTAACAGAGAGTGGTTGATTTGCGAGACACAGTATTACCGGTGTTGCAGCAATATGGAGACAAACAAGCCTCATTGATATATTTTTAAGCGAACTTTTATTTGTTTCCAGTACAATAATGTATATACAATTAACATGTATAAATAGAGGTTATCGTGGGATAGAATTGAAAGTCAATGCCAGAGTTGCGAGTGTAAGGCTTATGAAGACATCTTATCAGTGATTAGCCTTTATCGATACAAATGAAGCAAAGAATTGCATCCTGTACAGTATAATAGAGACTTTCCGCACACACCATTGACGACTTCCTATAGATAAAAACTATATGTAGCAGCCAACCTATGTCGAACAGATAATACTTTTCAGTGTGTTTATGATAAAATAATGAAATGATTAGCGTTCCATAAGACCCCGTAAACCTTGATTGTCAACGTTCTGACTATCACCATGTCAAACTGGGTAATTAATTACATAATTTGGCAAGTAAGTACTATTATATATTATTTTGTTCACGTTAAATTGGAACCATTCTAACTAAGAAATATGAATTTGCCACAACTTAGGAGGAGCGCCCGAGTGTCAGAAGAGGTAATACTGGATTCGAAAGATTGAAATTATGCAATTACCACTCTTGTTGTAACTGAATAATATGTCCCAATCTTTATTCTGGTTAACAAATTGTACTATTTTACAATATTCCAATTAATTGATTATACAAATTTCATCTTAACACACCTAATTTAAAAAAATTGGAAACATTCAACTAAATAATTTGAAAAGCCTAACGTAAACCTTTTCAAATGTGACTTGGATTTAAAAATATTTTCGAACCCTCTGGACAAGTAAAATAGGATGTAATGGATAATTTACACAACAGATAGGACACTTAAACATCTAATACTTAGAATAAGGCTATTATTTATTTTCTGGAGCTGTCAAGCCAGCAAGAGTGTTATCGCCCCTTTAAAGGTGCATTATGTAAGAGATAAATCTTCTTAATGTAGATCTTTCCTTTGGACTCAAGTGTTATATAAATCATAAATTAGACATTTATTCACATGCAAAGCGCATAATTACAACTCTCTAGATCATCGGATGGTTTTGATTTTCATCGGATGTAAACACGATTGCCAGTTAATAATTTAAATAAAAATTGGATAATCGAGACTTTGTTTATCAGCGTAGCAACAGTAGCAATGGCAATCGAAGCTACACTGTTCTTCAAACGGGCATTGGTCCGCCCAGAATGAAGTTGTTTGATTGAAACTGTCAACATATTCCCTTTTCATTATCTAGGTTTTAACTATTATAGCGAGAACCGCCAGCTCTTTATCTGAAACAATTTAACATTTCCTGTCTCAAAACGTAACACCTGACAATAAAACCCACCAAACTAGATAATTCGTCGAGTTTATAATGAAATATATATCAATATATCAGATTATATATCCATGATGACGTCTCGTTTGGATACTTTAGAAATTGAATAATAATGGTTTATATTATCTGTGGAAGCAAGATTTCACAGAGCGTTTGTTAGAAGTTCCCTTCAATATGCCTTCCCAAATACAAATTGTGATTTGATGTTATATGTGGATTAAAACATATTCAAACTAATTGATCTTTTAAAAACTTGCTTCATATTCATCTCAAAACATTTTACTTGTTTTATAGTAAGTGTAGGATAAAGCGTGAGACTGTGGTTATGCTGGGGGAGAGGCTTCGGTTTTTCTGTCAAGGGTTTTATCTGAAATCTTTCTTCCCCAGCATAACCGAAGTCGAAGATTTTGTCTTGCTAATAAACCGTCTATGTTTACATGTACGCAAAATGAAAATATCCCAGAAATCCGGTAAGAAAAAGCTTATTTCATGTTTTCTTATGGAAAAAAAACCCTACCCTGTAAGAATAACCCGTTACAAGTTTAAAGAAAAAAATTCAGAAGAATAACCCCAAATTCCCCTGTATATATCCAACGCCGTTTCAAAGATCAAAGAGATTTAGTGTTATAGGTTTATAAACCATGCTAATTGCTAATTTTAGGCACGGGAGGCAGGCTGAGGAAAAATTATCGTAAAACAATTTTAAGTTGTACAAATATTTCGCATAAATACTATGGCATAAGAAATAAAATTTGCATACTATAAGATTATTGCGCTCACTATAGACTGAACTATTCCCGTATTTGCTAAATACTGCAAAGCAATTAGTTAGAGTTTCACAAAAACGAAAATAACGTGGACGAACTCCGATTCATTATAGTTTTTTTTATAATGTATATACTATATACTATATCTGGAGCAATGCTATGACAATTGTCCACTAATAACCTAGCATTAGTTTTCAATGGATCATTAATGACCGTTTCCAAACAAATGATAGTACATTCATTATTTCAGAAAATGTATTTATCATCACTTATGTTGTTTTATAACAATATTATCTGACACCAACGACACGTCAAAGGTATTATCACCAATATCCCTAATTGATTATCTTATACCTTAAATTAATTGTAAAAAGTCGTAATAAAAATAAATTAATATATTGATTTTATAGAGAGAAAAAATACAAGGCTTTTAAACCCATACATCAAAAATTACCTCAAATGGACAGCACAATACATTACTTGCAATATCAAAATATTATTGTGTGTCTATAAGATTAATTTATTTTTCGCGATTAATGTCTGTACACGTAAAAATAATATTAGTTATTGTTTCATCTTTGACATTATGTCGGATTAATAAATACATTAATAATAGATCGAAACATGACAAAAGAAAAGGTGTTTGTGCAATGTGTTTTTGCATGTAGTGTTGTTCACCTGTAATAACTATCGAGAGTTCATGTGTTGAATACCTAGGATTATTAATCCACAAAAATGAAATGATATGTGGTTTAAAGGACAATATTGGTGCCAGTCATTATCACATATGTGATAGAACTGGTTAAACACATTCCAAATATTATTTTATCCCAGGGATCATTGCTACGATAGATGAGTAATCAATGTTTCAACAATAGGAAGTGACGAACGCAAAAAGAAAATACGAGTTATCCCTTTATATAACTGAATGAAGTGACGGGTGATAACAGATACATGGGCGAATTTCTGCTCACTAATAATTCCTTCGAAGACCAAAAGTTGTTGTATGGGACTGTGAAAGGATATCTGACAATTCATAAACAAAATTGACTCTCACTAGATAAGAGAACATGAAAGAAAAATAGAAAAAGTCCGTGCATTACCAAGTTTTTATAAGTATAGAATGATTAAACGACGGTGAATGTACGGGCGGTTTCTATTTTTCTCATGTTCTCTTATCTAATAACATGCAATTACTTTTTTGAATTGTCAGATATACTCTTACAGTCTCATATAACAACTTTTGGTCTTCGAAGGAATTTTTAGTGAGCAGAAATTCGCCCATGTATCTGTTATCATCCGTCAATTCAGCCAGTTATATAGAGGGATAACTCGTGTTTTCCTTTTGCGTTCATCACTTCCTATTGTTGAAACATTGATTATTCATCTATCGTAGCAATGATCTCTGTGATAAAATAGTATTTGGAACGTGTTTAACCAGTTCTATCACATATGTGATAATGACTGGCACCAATATTGTCCTTTAACATCCGACTATTCTGCTCCAAGACAGTTTGTTATGAGGGACATTATCATGGGACACGTGCGCTACACTGCCAAGTGATCTTTTACGTGCGCGCCATTGTGTACGCAGGGTCTCGGTTTTTCGTCCCATCCGAACGACTATTAGTTGCTGCCCCCACACCCCCCCTTGTAAGTGTTGCAGGACAAAGGGCTTGACAAGGGGATGTGTGGGGGAGGGCACGTCGGAAAATCCCGTTGAATTATGTATTGGTCTAATGATAGCCTACTGATGTTGAGATAACCATTAAAGATGCATTATGTAACATTTAGATAAAGAGCTTGACTTTCTTCCTATACTAGTTCAAAAATAGAAAAATCAGTATATTGAAAATTTCACACAAATTACTTTATTCTGAGCGAAGTTATGAGAATTTGAAGTTTTACCCATATTGTCTCGGTTGTCAAGTACCATTACTGCGATAATAAACAAAGTATTGCTTATCCATTTTATCATTGAATTATTAAATAGCGAGATGATTCTAATCCATGAAATATCTAACCCGCCCGATGTCATGTGAACAAATTTTGAAATATTAACCTCAAATAAATAGGTTCTAATCCATTAAATATCTAACCCGCCCGATGTCATGTGAATAAATTTTTAAATATTAACCTATAAAAAAATAGTTCTTTCATAATACACCTTTAAAGCAACCACCCAGAACATATCATTAGACATAAACTATATTGGAGGCCTCAACAATTATTGTGATGGTGCAATACAAATTTAACTGATATGACCAGGACTACAATATACACATGGAATAGACATGGTTTTGCAAGGGTTGTTATATAACAAGGTGGTATTACTGCCCTTTAATTTTGTCATTTTATTAACATATCTTTTGTACTGTAATTTCAGTTAATCATTAAGTCCGTTACAACATGGCATGGCTTTGGTAATGAGAATTTCCATTGTTGGCCATACGACGCCAACAGCGACAATCCAACACCATTTACAGAATGCAAAGGTAAATATTTCCAGTATTTAAAGATACATTATGGGAGATTCGATAACGAGTTGGCAGTTCTCACTATAATAGTTAAATGAAAATTTCATTCAAATTGATCTACTATGAACCGATTGAAATTTCCGCCTAGCTTCGACCATCATTACTAAAGTCAGTACGATAAACAGCATAGTCTCGATTATCCATTTTATCGTTAAATCGTGAAGGAAAGTTATACAGTAAATTGGTTCATAATCCACTAAAGTTCGCGGGCTAGCGATGCCATCTAAATTTGGTTATGACCTGGATAGGTTAATTAATGTCTAATTAATAATTTAGATAACATTTCAGGCTTAAAGAAAGACCCGCAATAGACAGATTTAGCTCTTGCATAATGTATATTTAAGGCATAATGACATAAAGATGATTCAGTTATAAACAATGTTCATTATTGTCTGTAATGGATACTGACTGTGAATAAGCGAAATAAAAATACTGAAAATAGAAAGGTTATCGTTCTTTGTTGTCACAGATTCAATATACCAGTGGTGTTACATCACATGCGAAATATGTCACCGAGATCACGCATGCCTGCTATGCATTTAATTTTACTTTTTAGTATATTTCCTCGTTGTTGTTTCATATTTAGGTATAAAAATAAAATGGATTGTGGAGCCACCTTCTGAGATAAAGGCGGAAGAACATTTTAACACGACATATGAGTTGATCATAGAACCAGCATTTTATACTTGGGGTATTGGTTTAGATTTCTTTACACAGGCAAATATTACAGGCATCAGGTGGGTTTCATACATCATCATAAAACATTATAATTTGGAATCCAAATAGAACTGGCAAGTGGGAACATCCACATTAGGTCCGTCGACCGTCCACACTTTCTTATGAACATTGTACTGTCAGATTTCTTTACAACGCTCCCAATGAAGATTTTAAAAACGTGGTTCATTTGAACCCTACCTAACTAGTATATCTGGTCGTCGTTGCTACTGGTGCAACATCGAGACAGCTGGCAAGCCATCTACAATGTTATTATATTTTATCACCCAATAGTACACAGTAGATATCGCTTGTGTAATAAATTTCATAATTTACTGCGATAATATCGCTTTACATGAACTTAATTGGCAAAGGAACTACTTTTTTTTAATTTTCAAAGAACAATTCAATTTTTATTAAAGGAACTTTAATGTCTGCTAGTTGTATTATTTTCTTTAAAACAAGCTAAAATAATTAAGTTAATTAAAGGAACACAAGTAATAAGATCTGCCTCCTACTTTGACGTTTATTTCTTACTTGATAGAAGTAAAGCTATTTTCCTACCACTGTGTATAAGTTATGATGTTTTATGGCAATCATGATAAATCGGAAGTAATTGTGATTCGTTTTTCGTTTAATGTCGATACAGATTATTACTTGAAAGGCAAAATTTTACTGTCTATTATCGGTTATCAAGGGGATAGTACACGAAGGTTAGAATTATTAAAGCTGCGTTAAGTAAGAGCTAAACCTGCTTATTGCAGGTCTTTTTCTTGCTTCAAATCTTATACACATTATTATTTAGACGTGTATGTACACGCCAATGCTATAATGAACTCTCTAGAGCATCGGGTGACTGGGGTATTGAATGTAGACTACTCGCGCCACATTATCGGTTAACGTTAACATGGACGTCACCCAATAAAAGAACTAGAGTTATAGTTTATTATCTAATGGCAATGGTACGTGGCAATCGGTTATTTCTGGTCAAATCTTTAAACATTCATAACTTCGATAACTTAGCTCAGAATAAAGTAATTTGAATGAAGTTTTCAATACATTAATTATCCATTATTTATTTTTTACCTAGTATAACAAGCAAGACCAATCATCTAACCAAAAAAAAACAAACAAAAAAACAAAAACAATTTCAATATGTAGCAAAACAAATAAATTATATTAAAGATTCTATCGTGTTAAGTTAAATGTTAATTTAAAAAAAAAACAAAAAAAATTAAAAAAGAAGCAAAGAAAATTATTAAAGTTTAATAAAACATGAAAATATGTTTACAGTAGGTTTAAACATAATTTTAATCTATAAAAACTTGACATCCACTCAGTTCCATCCTACTCTTACTTTATGGAACAGTTTTTCTCTTCACTAACACCAAACAGTCTTAACTACATTCAAATCAAACTTAATGTTTTTATGTGTGTTAAATGTGTGGTCGACTCTTAGGCATGTCCCTATGTAACGTGGACTATAGCTCAATATACATTTCCATATTAACTGTATGATGTAATAGTCGTACCGGATATTTCGAAAAGAACAACCATATTCACCGCTGTTATTTAAAATGAATCAATCATGTGTCCATCCAAAACCACGATATCAGCTTGAACACACATACTTCATGCATAAGTTACAGCATTAATATGATAAGAAACGACCAATAAGGAAAATAGAAAATGCGATTAAAGGTCATAATGGTCGCTAATATTATTGTTCAAATTAATAAAGAATTGATAACAGGTAATGTGTCCTTTATCTTAAATGTTAATAAGTACAGAACGCTCATTATGCCAAAACTGTTTCTCAATAACAAGATTATTTCCAGCTTGGCTAAGCGCATAATATACATTGTACGTTTCTATGCTAAACCAATTCCAAATCCAATGGTATTTGTTCGTCCTATCGTTTTTATACGTCAATATTAAAAGGTGATCATATTGTCGTCACTTCTATCTGTCCCCATCTACAATTCCCGTGGATACTCTATGGACTTAAGTTATCATCGGACTGCTTGCTTTGTATTGGTTTTGTAGATAATTACTGTGGTTATGATCTATAATCATGGGGCTAAGATGATCATCCAATTGAATTGAGACTTATTCATATTCCTAATGTTCATGAAGCCCACTGCCCTTGGTGATTTTTTTAAAAAAAAAGTTTCTAGGTCCCCTGGAGACTAAAGCAATTTGATACCAAGTTATCACCTGAATACCGATACGTGTATTTTTGACCGCTAGGAAAAAGAAGAAACCATCCATATTTTTATACTTTCTGGTAATTATTGGACATCGAAATTTATTAATTAACGGTTACCATTTCGTTTACAAAAGAACACTTTATGGATTATCGGACGACTTTGCTGCTGTGTGTGTGTGTGTGTCTTTGTGGTTCGTTGCCTGACCACATACTTTTCGTATTTTCCAGTGATGCGGCATTGGCTGAACAGTGGTGTAAAGATGTTATTTGTCCAGCCCCGTCATTATCGACCCCTGAGAACTGTTGCGTTCATCACGTCAACGTACATTCATGTCCTCTGGGGGAAACTGACACAGTTCAAAATGGCCTCTGTGGTCCATGGATTCCACCTTCCGGTTCTGTCTTCACGCATTCAAGCGTTATGGTTGGCCCTGTGGGTCAAGGCAACTGGACTAGCACTGTTGCTGGGTTGTACGCTGTGGGAGAAACCTCCGTCATAGCCCATTTCAAACTGGCTAGAATGCATATTGCTATTGAAAAGAGAGTAAATGTTTTACCTCGGACAAGTAAGTTTACATACATGATTCTTCAGTACTGAATATATTCTTTAGCGGATAAATATAATCTAAATACGTAGATACGAAGACAATTATTTATTATCAATTTATACTTTTATTCCACATATGTTCTACTTTCGATTTTCACATGGTCAATAATATCAATGTTTCCTGTATTTGTATGAACAGTTTGTGGTGATGGGCGATGTGAACTAAGTGAGGGCGAAGAGTGTTCAAGTTGTCCTAAAGATTGTGCTGAATGCCCTCTAGAAGATTGGGAAATCGCCCTTATTGTTACCTTCATTATGATCATTCTTATCATCTTCCTGGTCATAATAATAGTAAGTCAGTTTTATTCTTCTCCTCGTCATCGGAGCAGAACAGTAGGACGTTAAACCCCATTTCATTTCATTTCTCCGCATCATCAAGATGACATTGTTTTCGGTTTTGATATGCAAATTTAACTAATGCAAATTAATTTTGATTTAAACATATCCCTATTTTTGTATTGTCAGTAACATCTGCTTAATAAACACAAACATCATCATCATCATCATCATTATCATCATCATCATCATCATCATCGTCATCATCACAAAATTTGCACTAATGTCGGTAATAATCTGTCGTTTGCATTAGTATTTTAGATATCAGAAAAGAAAGTTATTTTGGGATGAGAGCTGGATCATACCACATGAAGATATTAAAGAAGGTAAACATACGATCTGTTGCAAGATGGATGAGCACAAAGCATGTTCTTATTAGGGTAAACGCAATACCTTAATTGCTCTGTTTTGCTCTCAGAATGCTGTGATGTCTTTACCATTTGACATAATGTCAATTGACGTACTTGTATAACAGTTAAAACCAAACCTAAGTGGAAATGGTTATCGATACAAAGCTTAGAGCTTTCAGATTAGATATCAGACGAACAAATCAGTTAATTTGTAATAAAGATTTTATATAAATAGTGTAAAAATGAGACCAAATTTAGGTTATGATATTGATTATTATGTATCTTGTACATTTAGACAACGGTTTGAGAGGTGCGTTTGGCAGCATGTTAAGTATCATTTCCGGTGGAAGCAAACAAAGTGGTAGTGTAAGCTCCATGGCAACGTCAGCCGTCAGAAGGCAGGTCTTCGCAACTACAGCGTTCTAGTATGTTTCTATTCTCTATGTCCAAACATTTATATTAACAAATCTAAATGTTAGTTTTAATTGTGCATGTTATTTAATATTTAACATGTTTTGAAGCAAATCAAATATAAACGTTAAGGTCTATCAAGTACATGTTTAGTTATGTGATTTATTAGGAGGCAACGTGACGTTAATGACCCTTTGTTTAAACTATTATTATAGCGCGAAGAAAGGCAAGCATGAATTTAGTAGCGTAGCAAGGGTGAAGGGCGGACTGGGACCCAGAGACAGCATAGGAGTGGCGAATCAGGCCTCCCTCATACACAACTGGAAATAGTGCTGAATAACGCGAAAATATAGAACTCTTTCTCCCGGTCGAAGCGTAAACCACTGGTCAACCGAAGCTTTCAACATTCTTAAAATATAAAAGATTTTATCGGGGGGGGGGACGAATCTATACCCTGTCCATGCTCCACAACTCGTAGTAGTAAACCTAGCATATAGAGCACTCAGGCATTAATTTGTATGTCTGAAGTTCATTATATTGAAGTTCATTTGTTATATAATACACAGTAACGGATGTATTTTTCCAATCGGATCCCAAACTCACAAAGATTGCACAAAATTATTGAAACAGGAAATTCCTGGATATCACACTGACTGGACTTGCTGGTTTGATAATAAGTCCCTTCATTTAATGTGAATATGAAGATAAAGGCCGAGCTGATAAAAATATACGTTCAGGAATGTATTTTTTTCAGTGATGGTAGAACAGTCGCGGTAAAACGAATTAAAAACTCAGAATTCGTTTTAACCAAAGTGATTCGAACTGAAGTTAAAACTGTACGGTATGTCAATTGACTATTACTTTCTTCATAAGTACAAATGGAGTGATCGAATTCTTCCATTATTTTCGTATTAGCCATACTTGATTTGAATGTACTGAAATAGAATTCTCGTTCTAATTATTCACATATAAAATTTATAGAATTCCGGTGTCACCCTTTAGTACCAGACGTTTCTTTGAAATACCTTTTATAAAATAAACATATGCCTGTGGGTTGCGTAAAAGATAAACTATATTTGCAATAGTTACCTAAAATGGTCTTTATCACCTTTAAGGATTCCTCCATCATATATCCAACACAGTTTTATTAACTTCAGTTTGTAATTTTCAGTGAAATGGATCATCCTAATCTGTGTAAGTTTATAGGTGGTTGTATCAAAGTACCAAATGTGTGTATTGTCAGTGAATATTGTCCTAAAGGGAGTCTTAATGATGTATTACTGAACGATGATATACCACTTAGTTGGTCTTTCAGGTAAGTCGTGGTAGTTAATTAATTATTTTTGACCTGAAGTTCGGCAATCTGTTGCTTTATTTTGTTATCATGAGTAACTAAACCTCTGAATGAATGACTTCGTGGTAGTTCAATCAATTATTTTTGATCTGAAGTTCGGCAATCTGTTGCTTTTTTTTTGTTATCATAATAAGTAACTAAAACTTTTCATGAATGACTCCCTCGACGTCGTGGTTGTTGGTTTCTTTAATGGGATTATATGTCTTAGCAGGAAGAAACCATCCCCCCATGTACATTGTTACCAATGTATATGTTTAAAAGATAGTTTCACATTTTATTAAAACAAGAGCGTAATTTGTGTCTGTATACAACCGGCTGGTTTTAATCTAATCGATTATTAGTAAGTCTTCGACGTACGTGGAGATTCATTGTCAAAAGCGAACCCAAGACAAATCCGGCGAAATAGACAGCAATGGTTTGTTTCTGGCATTTTATTGTCAGATACAGTTTCAGTTTAATGGGAATATGCTTTTATAAACGATAAAAAATAAACATTAATATCGTTATGACACTATCCAACACGCTTTCCGACTTTCCATTTCATAATTTATACAAGACTGGTGATAATCGATTTGACGGATATTTACGATAACATTCAATGAATTATAGTGTATTCGTTTTGAATAATTTACATCTTAATGCTTCTATATGTTATATTTACCGTAGCATGCGCAGAAAGAGAGGATCCTAGGTATGATCCTAAGGCGATGATCCTAGGTATCCATTTCAGGGAAGCAAAGGCATCAAATCAAAGAGTGAAATTTTTGAAAATATCACAGTTAACATTCATATTTTGTATATTTTAAATGCTACCATTTTTCACTTCTCGAATGTTTGGGGTATACGATCGAAGAGTTGACTCGGGCATCATCAAACCTCGCAACACCACTTCATGCATGCATAACGTCCTTGTTTAAACTATTCCAATTGGACGTTTGCTGACATTTGCATAATATTTAAAATGTCTTCCTTCCCCGCATATCTCGCTACAAAGCTTTATACTTGAATCTTGAGGACATACGACCAAGGTGTTAGCCCCGGGCATCACCAAACCCTCGCACGTTAATGGGTACACTATCTCAGCCGAGCGTGTGCTAATTGTGTTTACATTTTTGACAAGTACGATATTATTCAGCTTAATAAACAAGTAATCACCTGTAAGAATGATAACAATTTAATCAATCTAGTGTCAGGGTTAAAATAATATATTGACACAGAAGCTATCGCTAAATCCCTTTGGGGATAAGCAATAAAATAACAGTAAAAAACCACTTTATTCATATTATTGAGAAGTTTTATGATCTGCGTCTCTTTATGTCTTTCATTGATTAATGAACTCTCTGTAAGCCGTATTATTGCTAGTAATGTTGTTTTAGCTACTCGTTATGCTTTTTATATCACTTTGATGTTGGATAGCCCACAAGAAATACAGTATATCAGAGAAACGTGCATTTCATCAGCTTTTAAAAACTGTATGGTTTAATTCTAGGGGCAGATTCAAAGAAGGGGGGGGGGGGTAAAGGGATCCGTGACTCGCCAAGTTACTGTAGATTTTCTCATGGGTGCAACTCCTCTTTTTAAAATGACACTATTGTTTGGAACCGAGAATTAAAATAAATATAAGGTACTAAACTTTGGTAATCAAGGATGCAATTATAAATGACGTTGTTGCAAATGAAACGCCGGGTCTACTAAAAGTTGAGGATCGCCACCACCATTATATGGGTTAATATATCACTGAAACATGGCCTTTTTAACGTGCCTACAGGCACGAAATGGCCTCTGGATAACAAGATCCGTGCGTTGAAAATCTGAAATCCGTGCTTTGAAAAAATGCTATGTGGCCTTGTGAATTGTATGGGGAAATTTAACTACCATTATGATCATCGGCCACTTTCGATTTATGTTTCAAAAGTTTTGTAGTGTTGACTTATTCCCACCACCACCTAAATCACGAAAATGACATCGTCAGGTGCAGGTGACTAGCGAAGGTTCGTATGTCTTTAAATCGACTTTGGATGGTTATTTGGGCGGTTAATGATACTGACACACGGTTATAAATATAAAAATATTAATTCTGTTATATATTGGTTATAAACGTGCGGGCATGATATCGTGTTATCGGCAGTCAATTTCTAGATAGTTTCACATTTTCACAAAGTCATTTCCAACTTCCAACGGGGTTTGGGAAACCATTGCCGTCGGATTTGCTAACCTATTTACTGTAAAAATAATTGACATATATGCACTTGTCTTTTACATAATAGTTTCTAATTATCCTAAAGCTGTCATCAAACCTGAATTACAAGACTAAATAACAGAAGAAAAAAAGGTGACCATCCTTCAGTGTGTTCGTTTCTTTATACAGAAAATGTATTCTTTCATCAGTGTAATATTGTGCTCTGGGTCTTTTAGAAATTGAACAATAATAGCTATGTTTGATTGGCCTCAAGTGTTCTTCTGATGGGCTAATCGCATGCTTGATATACATAAATCATACTATAGTGTCCTATCCATCATACCTATTTTATGCCATTGTATGTACGCTTTATTAATCTTTCAAGCTGAATAGATCGGAAAAAAACACACCGATGATCTTTTCCACGAGACAGCTTAGTATAAGATTTATAGGTTCAGTATACGCACTTATTTGTTGCGGGGGGGGGGGGGGTGGATGGCTGAATGGTTAGCGTGCGCGCGCTGTATCATAAAGTCTGTCATTGAGTCGACTGGGGTGGTTTCGAATCCCCGGTTGTACGTGGCAAGGAGTAGGGTCGCCTGTCCAACCTCGTGGGTTTTCTCCGGGTCCTCCGGTTTCCTCCCACTGCTAAAGACCCCTACGCGCAAGCGAATTATGTAAATAAAAAATTAAAAAACCATACGTTAGTCCCGAAATGACCTAGTTTGTGTCGAGTGGACGTTAAACCCCATTTCTCTCTCTCTCTCTATTTGTTGCTAAAATCCCCCGAAGCGTTCTTTAACGAGTTACTAAATAAAATACTAACATTTCGTTCCATTTTATTTTAGATTAAACTAATTCAATTTTAGCTTTATTTGTTGGTGATACTACGTGTATTGTGATTGGTCGACTTCACGCCAATCTACAAATCAAATTTGTGATACAGAAAATTTCACAAAATTCTAGGAATATCTCTGATAATCGAGATATTGGTTTAATCAAGGTCAAAAGTATTATTATGCTGTTGACACAGCTTTAACGCGTTTTCCCGAAACAGTTATGTAGGTGTCAACACGGAATATGGTGTATACATGTATATGACATCTACATAAATGTATATATATTTTCATAATAATATTATCCTCGTGGTCATGGTATCAGATAATAGATCTTAGCCTAAAGATGTACAGATCTAAAGTCCACTTGGCTTAACGTTCTGCCGTGGAAAATATTTTTGGCGATATCTTTTCTATTCCTTTCTGAATGAGCCAGCGATACTCGTAACTGTTGCCTTTGACGTCTTCTTTAAGACGTATATCGCCATATTATCGAATCTAGGATTTATGCCTTCTTTTTGGTAGACTTACTATTTTAAGTCACTGTATTTCCAGGTTATAAGAAATATTATATTTTCAGCCATAAAAAATGTTCGCTTGGGGCTGCATGGAGTGCAATAGATGACACAATAAACTCCGAAGGAACATAAGGTTTCACAAGTCGAAAGTTATATAAGTCTGGTTAGTTAAGACTCGGTACATGTGTCTGGGGCGTGGTAAGGTGTGGAATATCTAAGATACAACTGAAAGAACACAATACCCAACCAAAGCTTCATGCGATTTTTGTATTTACAGGTTTTCCTTTGCTACAGATATAGCTAGAGGAGTTAGCTATCTACATAGTCGATCTTTATCACACGGAAGACTTACATCCAGTAATTGTCTGGTTAGTTAAGACTCGGTACATGTGTCTGGGGCGTGGTAAGGTGTGGAATATCTAAGATACAACTGAAAGAACACAATACCCAACCAAAGCTTCATGCGGTTTTTGTATTTACAGGTTTTCCTTTGCTACAGATATAGCTAGAGGAGTTAGCTATCTACATAGTCGATCTTTATCACACGGAAGACTTACATCCAGTAATTGTGTTATTGATGACAGGTGGACTGTTAAAGTTTCAGGTAATACATAAATTATATTTTGTTACGAATACGGTGACGTACAAAAGATAGAGTATGCTTATTCTTCTAGAAACTTGATACTGCTTTGCTAATAGAAACACATTATCAAGTTCACATGCTATTGCATTAAACGTGCCATACTGGTGATAGATTTAAAGTTGTTTACATAGACTTAAGACATTAATAGGAAGAATTATCAATATGTAATAGGTACTATCCGAGGAGGATCTTCACAGTCCCACATCTTGTCTCCCATCCCTATGCAACTAGCTCGCTGTAGCCCTTGTCGAATATTCAAATAAAAGGTTGGAATAGTGCTACTAATCATAATTCTAATATCAACCCAACTCACACTCCTTCCATTTGTGTTTTGTCTCCAGTATCAGTTAGTAGTTTTATTTTATTTTTATTCAGATTTTGGCTTAAAGAACTACCGAGAAGAAGACATATTAACAGATGAAGCTGCCGACGAACTTCAGTACAAAGAAAGACAAAGAAACGTCTATCTGGCACCGGAAATACGAACAGGATATTGTGTTATAGTAACAGAACCGGCAGACGCCTACTCCTTTGCAATTCTATTGATTGAAATTGCTAATAGAAATGATCCTTACGGGGTGAGATACCAAAAATTGTTAATACGTTAATCCGTAAAGCTTCCCGTTTTATCATATTTGCATGGTATCAAACACATACACTTTGTTTAATATCCATTGCCAATATTATATGATACATACCAGTGGATTTCTTTTATAATATATTGCAGATATTGCACTAGATTTTAAAGTTATGCTTCGTTTAGAATCTAATTCTTATATTGTATGATATCCACTAGCCAGGCCTTGATGTACCAAATAAACATATTTTTTAATATGAAGAAATTGATCTTTTGATTCAGGATGAAGATGTATGCGATTTACCTGAAGATTGGGTGCCGCCATTACCAGGATTTAGTGATATTGAAGACAAAGACAACATATGTCCTTGTCCGTTTGAATATTGTAAAGTAAGTATCTCAAATAGTGTCAAATATAAATTGTATCTTCAACATTCATAGCATCGGTCACGGGGATTGCTACAAATCATATCCTAAATATGGTAACGGTGTCACAAGTATGCTCGCATACATTCCAAGTTCGTCAGAAAAGGCCCTTGATTTGATGTTATTCACTTTAAAGATGAATTATCTAAGAGTTAAATCTACCTATGTAGTTTTTCCTTTGACTTCAATTCTTATATTAATTATTCTTTAGATATTTATTCACACAATACGCCTATAACTGCACCCTCTAGTGGATGGTCGTGATTTAAATGAATTTGAAGATCCGCGAGGTTAAAACATTTAAGGCTAAAATGGACAATCGAGGCTCAGTTTCAGTTATCAACTACCGTTGCTACGTTAACAAAAAACCAAAAAAAAAAACGATCTACGCTACATCTTCAAACAGTCATAACTTCGCTCCAGAATTTTCAATGTATAGACTTTTCATTATCTATTTTTAAACTATTATAACAAGAATGGTCAGCTATTTATCTAAATCTTCCATAATCGCAGAACTCTACATTTGGGTGGGGTGTATCAAAAGCTTAATTACAAAGTTAAATATATGGACGTATGTATTATGTTTTAGTTAATTAAAGAATGTTGGAGTCAAAAGGCGGTGGATAGACCATCGTTTGACGTCATCAAGAAAACTCTACATAAAATAAACCCAAGTAAACTCAGCCCAGTAGATCTTATGATGAATATGGTAAGTGTCTATTAAATCTAATTCACCTACACTGACATCCGACTAATATGATTTTTATAAAGTCTTACTGGCGATACAAAAAATGTAAGCGTTGCACCGGGGTGTGTGTGTGTGTGTGGGGGGGGGGGGGGTGCTGTTAACTGTTATACTAGCAGGTTAAGGCTTAATGATGAATTCTCAATTTAGTACATAATATTCATTTGACCACACATCGGCTGGGTGCATCCTCGAATTGATTTTTAAAAAAATCGAGATTAAAAAGGATTGATATTCTAATAACGATGCTTGTCTATTTGGTACAGGGATGAAAAGTTATATATTCTATTAAAGATACATGTACACTTTGATACGGTCCAAATGTATAATATTATTGATCTAAGAATTTCGGTGCTTGTCTTATTGGTATATAAGGTTGAAATCGACAGCATTTTTGACAAACAGTATTGTCGATTTACTGATTATTTATTTATTTGATTAAATTAGATGGAAAAATATTCTAAACACCTGGAATCTATAGTTGTTGAACGAACACAAGATCTGGTGGCAGAGAAGCAAAAAACAGATAAATTACTTTACAGTAAGTAAATTTTCAATTTATATTGTGTCTCCAAAATCGTAAACCGGCTGATCCCACTGGAAGAATTTTGAATTCCTTGCTAAGTACAATGCTGTGAACGTTGAATCTCTTAAAGGATTACCTGTCCAAAAGTGGTTTAATTCCGTTTATTATTTACAACGCTAGGAGTGTATGAGTTGAATTTTCTCTTCAGACGATATAAACAAGCCAGTGCCACATATAATATTAATATTCAATTGAACCAGTTAATGTTCAATACTCAGTTTGATTAGACTTTTAGCTTTTTAAGCCGTGAAAAATATAGCCCGAAAATTGCAAATAACGATAAGCGGCTTGAAGCTAAGGCACACACGGATCAGAAGTGAATATTCGCCAAGCCGCTACACTCACTGGGGGGGGGGGGGGACATCGGTGCGGGTTAATGAGCTCGCAGTATTAACTTATTTCCTTCTACAAATGAAATTCTAGAACATTTTTTGAAGTATTAGAAAAATAGATAATGGTGTTTGAAATATATGTAAGTAAAAAATATTGATATTTGCTTATATCAAACATGTACGAAACCCCAGAAGGCTCATTCCAAATTCCAGATTTCAAATTCCAGATTCCAGATTCCAAGTTCCAGATTCCAAATTCCAAATTCCAGATTCCAAATTCCAAATTTGCTGTTGTAGCAAAAAAAAAAAAAAAAAAAAAATGCCAATCCTAGGATACCGAGTAGCAGAGTAGCTCACTGCAGAGGAACTTTGCCCCAAACTGTTCACATCTGCCGAAGCAAACCCGAACTGGAATATTGTTATTATACTCTAACTGATTAGGGGGGGGGGGGGTTGGATGGTCGAATGGTTAGCACGTGCGTGCTGTATCATACGGCCTGTCATTGAGTCAACTGGCGTGGTTTCAAATCCCCGGTTGTACGTGACAAGGAGTAGGGTGGCCTGTCCAACCTCGTGGGTTTTCTCCGGGTCCTCCGGTTTCCTCCCACTGCTAAAGACCCCTACGCGCAAGCGAATTATTGGAATTTGGAATCTGGAATTTGGAATTTGGAATCTGGAATTTGGAATCTGGAATCTGGAATTTGGAATTTGGAATTCGGAATTTGGAATCTGGAATTTGGAATTTGGAATCTAGTAATTTGGAACGGGTATTTATCCGGCCCAGATAGGTAAACTAGAAGTAATTAGTTGTGTAAAATTACAATTTATATAAATTCTAATTTGTTTAATTGAGGGGGGGGGGGGGGCTGCCAATTTGCTATTTTATCGGTAAGACATGAATTTGGAATTTGGAATTTCGCATTTGAAATTTGGAATTTGAAATTTGGAATTTCGCATTTGGATTTGGAATTCGGAATTTGGAATGAGCCTTCTGGGCTTTCGTAAACATGCGACTACAAAAAAAAATCTTTACAGTAATACAATCATTTTATTTTCTTACAGGTATGTTACCTCGTTCCGTAGCTGATCAACTACGACAAGGTCAAGCTGTAAATGCCGAAGCGTTTGATGAGTGTACGATATATTTTAGTGACATTGTGGGTTTTACTGATCTATCTGGTGGTAGCTCACCTATGCAGATTATAGCATTATTAAATAAACTCTATACAACATTTGATGAAATTATTGATCGATTTGATGTTTATAAAGTGGAAACAATAGGAGATGCATGTAAGTGATAAATTAATTTACGATTGGATTTATTGGAAACAGTCTATGTCGATTCTCGGCATTATGTAATTTTGGATGAACGCGGTACCTCACTGAGTAAGACTAAGACGTTGGATCGCTAACCTGGAAATCCCGTGTTCGATCCCGGTATTCGCCCAGAAAATTCATCACGAATTTCCGGTTTGCCCCGCCACCCCACCCCACACGTCCGTTCGGATGGAACGAAACGTGAGGTCCCGTGTACATATTGGCGTGCGCAGAAAAGATCACTTGGCAGTTGGAATTTGATACAAAACAGACCGTAGTGCCGCTGTCCGGGCTAGGACTGGATAATCGCCGCGTGTTGGGGTCCAAATAGGGCACATATTTAAACAATTACTGGAGATGGACTAGTTTACTACTTTAGACAAATTGCTTTAGAAGATTAGTCAGATATCTAACTTTTAAAGCTGGAATGACCATAAAGACTTATTTGTCACGACATTGCCTATATCACATCTAATTCATTTATATAGCCCGGTAATGCAGCTGTAGATTTAAGTATTAAATAACGCATTAAGTGAACACGACGCATGGCATTAAAGGGAGATAATACTAATTATTTTACTTTATGAAATGAAGTTTTATGACACGTCAGCACCAATCGTGATATATTGCGCCAAACATATTGTGACAGGCTAAATTATGTCACAGAAAAATATTATATGCATATATAAAACAATATCACAGTAAGTAAAATTAAAAATAAAAAAAAATCTTTTATGCATACAAAAATTAA